GCATGGTATTCAGTAGAATTGCTTTTATTGCTCTAAGCGTTGGTGCTTCGTATCAACACAGAGAAATATTTCGTACGAGCTGAACGTATTACTGACCGAAATGACCACATCTGGCTTGTAAGCCGGCAGCGACCAGCCATACCCAACCCCAGGTTTGGAACATAACCTTGGCGTGTCACTTAACCAGAAGCCCAACTAAGCCTGCATCGATCTACCAGTCCCACGCCTGACAGACTGTGTAACCAATCAGAAGTGAGCGCATGTATGACCACCAGTTATAAACGTCTCGTGACCTCTGCTCACACCACCCCACTACACTTACCGTCTGCTCAAGTAGACTGTCAAAAAGTACGCTGTCTCTCTCTCCCTCTCTCTCAGCTCGCATGGAAAGGCGCTAATCATCGCGCGCTCAACACGTACGTAGGAGGAGCTGCGTCGATAATTGCAAACTTTTCGAGTAACCGAGACAGCTGACAAGAAATGCGTTACGCTTGTGAGGCGTAGCTGAGTCTACTACGCACACACATACCCACACACACACACGCTGACGCGTGCGAATCGATTAAATTTTCACTTCTGGCAGCGCTCATTCAGCGTTTTGATCCAGCTGAGACGTCAGCATGTTGTTGTTTGAGGGTGAACCCTTCTTGTTTATACTCTTTGCTCTGTTCACCCTGAGTTTCCTCATTGGTGGATGTTCCTGGGGTCAAGGCGAGGACGAGGGAGACGAGCCCCGAAAAATCGCCGGCATAGTTGTCTTCTTCTTTGGAGTAGCCTGCTGTGTCCTCTTCATCATCCTCTTCACCTACAAGAAGATCCGGAAGAGGCAAAAGGAGAGGAAGGACTTTGAGGAGCTTATGCGAATGCAAAACGAGTTTGCTGACAATGATGCCTTCCAATCGGACGAGCACGATCAACCTCAACAGCAGGAGGTATAGAGCGTCAATCGTGGTGACATGAATCGTACTCGAAGCCTGCAAATTAGGACTTTATATGTGTGCGCTAACCTAGACCCTGTTTACCTCTACTCCCCACTTTCAACGAACATTGACATTGATGAGAGGCGCTAACTGTCCCTTGTCCTCCTACCATTCAAAGTGCTTACCCGACGACATTTAACTCCTCTTCACTGAATGAGATGCTTTTATACTCCTTTGGTGGCAAAACTATTTTTTGGTAGGAAGGTTTTTCAAAGATGTACGTTGAAGGTTAAAAGTGTCTACTATTTTTTGAACTGAAATGACCTATCCGATATGGGATTCATTGCTACTAACCAATTCCTTTTTTTTAAAACGCCTTTTATGGATTTTCTGGGTAGTGGACAAACAGATGGTTGAGAAGTGGGATAAAATTTTGCACAATACAAAACTACAGCCTAGAATTCGTGTAACATGCCGACATATGCGAAAGATTGACACTCTTTCGCTAATCGGCATTGAGTAAGGTTGTTATACTGATTATAGTGTAGTCTATTCTGAAGTCATTTCAGCCACGATAGGATGCCGGCTTTTTAAAAAGCTTCTTGCTGACCGCCAACAATACCTATGTACTGCATAAAGTGGCTACTTAAATAGTATAAATTTGATTGGCCAATTTGACTGCCCTTATGTATTCAAACATATTTAAGGTGAAACATAAACAAAAAATATTTTTCTTGTACTCTTTTGGTAGAAATTATGCCGTATTTACATTTTATACTAAAAGAAAGGGTATCTTTCAGTTTTCGAAAAGTTAATAATTATGAGCTTTTACAATTGTGAGATGTTCATTCATTATACATCACATTTGCCAATTTATTAATGCTGTCTTTAATGTCTACCGCATGCTCTAGGTCAGTTCCTATATTTTATGAGAAGTACGTGACTTCTTCCTCAAACCGTGGATGAAAACATAATTTTCGTTAAACAGGCGGTACACAGTAAACCTTGAATTCAAGTATAGCAGTCATTAGGTTTAAAAATTATTCGGCAATCTCGGACCTTTTTTTAAAAAACCGAAAGGCACCCTTTCTTTAAGTATGAAGTTTACAGAAGACCTAAGTTGCTACCAAACGAGCGTAAGAAATAATTTTTTATTTACGTTTTACCATAAAATTATTTGAATTTATAAATGCAGTCAAAATCAATGATAAAAAGAGAAATATAAGCTTATAGACTACGGATGGGAATGGATCACTAGTAAGCCACTGGCACAAACTTTCAGCAAGAATTCGATGCCGAATTCGGTCATGTTGTCCGAAACTGAAATTATGATCACTTACTCACACACGTTCTTTTTTACAGACCAAAAGACCCAAAATTTCCAGAGTACAGTCGAATACGAGATCCTGAATCCTATCTGTAGAAAAATGAATACTTGCAGTTGCTCGAATGATGTCGAGAAAGTGTAAACTGCCAGCATGGGCGATGCTCCATTTTAGCTTCAGTATCTCGCCAGATTGTGTTTTCAATGTTACGTTAAAGTGGCTGAGTGTTTTTGTAGAAATTTCGGGTTAGATCTGATCGCGTGATTGGTCTAGATTTTATATCCTAGCATAGAAACCAAAGGCCTTCCTGTAGGGCTCTCTGTCAGGAACATAAGCATTGGCAAATAAAAACATTTGGCTTAGTCATTCGTTATTCGAGGTGAACTCAAACTTCCTTAATCGATTTTAATTGCGCTCAGAGGAAACCCAAATAAAATATATTTGTGCATGGTCTTGGAAGCCATTTCAGACACCTCTTTTTTAATTTCCAGTGCAAAAGTCGTCACCCTGTTTAACTGTAGACCACTGTGGTTCGCATAACCTTTACCAAACACAATTCAACCGTTAACCAAATTTTACTCGATTCTAAGTCACTTGCCAACACTTCACAGCGCAGGGCTGCTGTTTCATGTATCTGCTTAATCGGATTGAAGAAGCAAATGTCTAAATATCCTCCAACGGTGTAAGAGATAAAAAGTACAGTTCGGACTGCTTAGACCTTTCTTTACATATGTTAATTATCATGTTCATAGAACAATCCAATTTTTCGACGATTTATTCGCCACTTTATGCATCAGAACACCCGCCTC